CTCCAAAAGATGAAGAATACTCCATTACCCCCAAAGAACACCCCTATGGTGCCCATTTGTACTAACTCTGTCCACCTTTAATCACTGATCTATTTTAGGTCCCTATATGTTTGCCTCTGCCTTTTCCAGAATGCAGTATCAGTAGACACCATGTGGTCATGTGAGCTCTGTTTGTAAACTTTGATTCCATCTGTAAAAGTGCACAATTGTACAGACTTTGCAGTGTTCTCCTGAGCATAAAAATTTTGACAGTGTCTAGTAGAGGTGGTGGCACACATTAGGCCTTTAAGCTGAGAGATTCCATTAGTATGAGCTCTGAGTTTGGTAAGACCCTGTTCTCCCTGTGTCTGACTTTCATTTGTAACACAGGAGGCCAAAAAAGACTCTGTGCTTCCACTTCAGGCAGCACAGGTTGGATGCGTGGTCGGGGAACCAAGATTCCACGTGCTGCATGGTGTGGCCAAAAGAAAAAAAGAAGATGGGAGGAATACTTGGGGAAGGGGTGGAGCAACTGAGAGAAATAATTATGAAATCACATCTATACCATGCAGAGAAGACATAAGTTAGTACTGAAAACATGGAGGAAGTTTAGACTTCTTTTGCTTTTTAATGAAACACAAAGCTGGTAATCTGTCCCTCTCCGTTTTTTTAAAAAACAAATTTATTTTTTAAATTTTTATTTATTTTTGGTTGTATTGGGTCTTCGTTGCTGCACACGGGCTTTTTCTCTAGTTGCGGCGAGCAGGAGCTACTCTTTGTTGCAGTGAGTGGGCTTTTCGTTGCGGAGCATGGGCTCTAGAGCGCAGGCTCAGTATTTGTGGCGCAGGGGCTTAGTTGCTCTGCAGCATGTGGGATCTTCCCCGACCAGGGCTTGAACCCATGTCCCGAGTTGGCAGGTGGATTCTTAACCACTGCACCACCAGGGAAGCTCCCCCTCCCTTTCCATAACATGTGCTGGAGGTCTAAAACTATGGGAATTACACCTATGAACAGCAAAATGGGCTTTGTAACTCTCTGGACCATTGAAACAAAAAGCTTCCAGTTTTCTTATAAAAGGTATTAAAAACTTCCCGTTTTGAGGATGTCAGACGTACCTCCTTTCCCACTAACTTGGGATATTACTGAAGAGGATACCCCTCTGTCTGCAGTTCACTTCAGTTATTCCTTGGATGACTGCCCCATAAACATCTGTAGCTCTTTTTAGTGTTTCATGTTGGACTTGCACAGATATCACTCACAGGAAAACCCATGACTGGCTACAAGTGTGCAGATGACCAGAACCCTTCCTCAAACTTGGAGGACCAGAAAGGCTTCATGGAGTCACTCCTGTGTAGCAGCAAAATTATAATGGAAATATAAAAGGCAATTTACTTTTTTAAATTTTTGGCCGTGCCCAATGTCATGTGGGATCTTAGTTCCCTGACCAGGGATCGAACCTGTATCTCCTGCATTAGAAGCTCAGAGTTTTAACCACTGGACTGCTGGGGAAGTCCCTAAAAGGCAATTTAAGTATTTTCAGATGATGTTAAATATAAACATAAACACCAAAAATACTCATGGCCCAAAGTAATGGGAATGGGGAGTCTCAAGTCTTGGATAATCCATGTCCAAACTCATGATTACTATTACATGCAATAAAACTTTCAACTATGGCAAAGATGAAGATGAACCATTTTTACATCTTTATGGGAAACCATTATGGTTGATCCCAGGAATGCAGGGATGTCTATATTGCTCCCCACTTTTTACAACTGCACCCAAGCAGTTCCTCAAATAGTGTTTAAGATGCAAGATGGTGTAAATAAAAAATGATCAGTGATGACATCCTCACTCATGAGGCCCTGACCCGCCACAGACAAACAATTCCAGTCTCCCTATTACCTCATAGCATTGTTTACTTTCTTCAAAGCTCTTATTTCCATCTTATAAACCCAGATTGTGCTATTTGTTAATCACCTCTTCCCCCAAAAATTTAAGAGCCAGGACTTGAAGAACTTGTTTCACACCTATATATCCAGAGTGTGTAGTGCCCTATTTATGCTAAATTGTGTATGATTTGAGTCTACAGTGCCTAGTAGAAGAGGGATGCTGAAAAATTAGCATGGAGTAGCTTCTGAGCAAGAAAGCCTTGCTTGGAATAGTAACCCTGTCTTTGTCCCTTGCCAGGTTTGTGTTCTCGACAGTTTACCTAAACTCATAAAGCCTCAGTTGATTGGAAAAGGAGGTAATACCTAACACAAGTCCAAATCCTGTTAAGAAGACCTTTTGGACAGTCTCTTACTGATATGACCCATTATCATTTATGGTTTGTGTTCATCCTTATTATGGTGATTCATTATGCCCCTCTATTTGTTGTTTTTACATTGCTTTTTCTGACCCATTTTTCAAAGAAAATTTTTATTGGAGTATAGTTATGTACAATGTTGTGTTAGTTTTAGATGTACAGCAAAGTGAGTTAGTTATACATATATTTACTCTTTAGATTCTTTTCCCATATAGGCCATTACAGAGTATTGAGTAGAGTTCCCTGTGCTATACAGTAGGTTCTCATTAGTTATCTATTTTATATACAGTAGTGTGTATATGTCAGCCCCAGTCACCCAATTTATCCCTCCCCCATGCCCCTCTATTTGAATACAAGTGTGAACCTGGCAGTTTTTGGCAAGAAGGCACTAACAAAACCATGATTTAACTTAATTTAATTAAGAACAAATGAGAAATCCGTTTCATGACAAAAACTGTAACTATGAAAAAAAAATTTGCCTGAGGAAGAATATACATGGTAATACTGAATCAAAATCTATAATGATTACCTTGAAAAAAACCACAAAGTTGATCTAAAAATCCACAATTGCAATGGGATGTTTCAATATATCCTATTAGGAAATGGAAAAGATAATATTTGTTAGTATACAAGTTTTTTTGAAAGAGTTAATAAAACATTTCTAAGAAAAATCTATAGAAGCATTTGACAAAAAAAGAACATTGTTTTCAATCACATACAATCAATCATAACTGAAAATGTACTGAGGAATTATGTTCAATTGTGAGTGATTGGAAATATCCATAATCTATCCGATAAGAGGAAAGTGCTAATTCTCACATGGAAGGATTGGGCCACAGAAGTCACTGCACAGTGCAGTAGAGGAACTCACTACAGGACCATATGCTTTCTTCTGACTGCACCACTGTAGCTGCTATAGTGGAATCAGGAACACACAGTCACTAGCAATATCAACAGAACAATGTGTTTACTACACAAATTAGACCTTATACAAATACAATATAGAGAAGAGGTGAGTCAGTGCTTCACGAAACGTTCTCAACCACAGCAGTCTAAATTTGTTGCCTGGTGGACACATGAGGACTTGCAGGAAAATCCAAACTGTGAGGGATCTTTGCTGTAGAACTTGTGGAGGCATCTGTAGAAACCAACAGGTCTGAGAAAATGGAAGTCATGTAGCTGGAGGTAATGAGGCTACTTTGGACTGGCAGGGCAAAGAATCAGGAAAATGGGCTAGAACCAGGTATATGTGAAACTCCTGTGTGGCTCAAGAACTAAGGCCTTCATCACTTTGCCTTCCAAGTGTCATGCAAGGGAGGCTAGTGGTGAAGTCTAACATGGAACCATGAAAAGAACAGGTTCTAGAAAATGTAGGTCACAACATAACACATTCCAGGAGAGCATCTCCAATTCTACATTTTAGTGTCCTGTAACAGGTCTCTTTTCTTTTTGCAAATATAAAGACTTATTGGTCCACTAACGTACAAGATTATTACAAAAATGAATCAGCCTAAATGTTAATAACACTTTAAAAAGTAGCTAGAAACGTGATGTTTATGTTTAATCTCACAGACTTGCAATGTGAGAGCAGTAACCACATCAGTTATGTTCACTGTTGTATTTACAGCACAGGCACACAGTAAGTGCTCAATATGAATGAAGGGATGGTAATACCACTAGTTGACTTCAGTGATAGAATTATTCTAATTGCATTATGGGTAAGAGAGACCCTAACTGGTGATATCAGAATAATGTAGGAGGATTTTTAATGCATTGGTGGGGGAAAAAAATGTTGCTCCAGTGCAAAGATATTGTAGCTACGAATTTAAAATAATTGCACTTGCAAACAATGTAAGGTTGCTTTGTTTAAGTATGCAGTTGATGTCAACATGGGTCTCTTACCCAAATCACAGTCAGATGGAATGACAGAGTAAAGAGAAAATGACAAAGAGTAAAGAGAAAAGATGTAGATACTAAGTCAAGTGAGATTATACTCTGTGTTAAACTTCACATAATTACGAATTTATGCCAACTATTTATTAGCAAGGAAAATGGAAGAAGGCTCTTCTGACAAAAGAAAAAAGTTTTTCTAATAAAAGAGGCATATTTACAATGGGTAAGAAATATCCAGTACCTGCCACATGAAGCCAATAGGAAAATCCCAACAACTAGCAGAGTGTCATTATTCCATGCCCCCTTTACTTACAGAACAACTTAAAAATTATATATTTTTGGCACATTATATAATATTGGCACATTACAATTATATTCCAGTTCACCCATGGATCCAACAGATTTCAAAATGGAAAGACAAAAATTCTATAAGCTGATTTAAGGAAAAATACTACCTACTACGCTTATATACTATTGCTTAAAGAGTACTTACAGAATTGTTTCAACTCAGTGTTCATTTGCAAAATTAACAAGTAGAATCCATAATTAGAGACTGAGTTTCAGAATAAGCCACTGATAAAGATATATTTTTAACTTTTAAAACATTTCATGTTATGAATTTTTTGGAGCATTATATGTGAATTAATCTACATCAGGCTTTCCCATATTATTTACATGTTATAGCATTTCTCTCCAGTAGAGTTTTCATATGACTCTGAATATATTGGGTTGGCCAGAAAGTTCGTTCTTCTGTAAGATGTTACAGAAAAACCCAATGAATTTTCTGGCCAGCCCGTTAAGATAGGAAACTCTCTTGTATTTATCACTTATATCCAGTGTGCATTCTCACGACATGTTTATGTAAGGATGTGGGCCAATTAAAGGCTTTCCCACAATGCTTACATTCAAGAAGTTTCTCTCCAGTGTGAATTCTTTCATGGCTTCTGTATGAACTGGGTCGACTAAAGGCTTTCCCACAGTCTTTACACTTGTATGGTTTCTCACCAGTGTGCATTCTCATGTGACCTCGAAAGGTTGTGCGGTAAATGAAGGCTTTCCCACATTCCTTGCATTCATAGGGTTTCTCTCCAGTATGAGTTCTTTCATGTACTTGAACATAACTGGAACAACTGAAGGCTTTACCACATATTTTACATTCATAGGGTTTCTCTCCTGTGTGAGTTCTTTCATGTATTCGAAATGAACTGGGACAATTAAATGCTTTCCCACATTCCTTACATTTATAAGGTCCATCTCCAGTGTGCGTCATCATGTGTCTCCGAAAGCTTGTGAGAGAAACAAATGCTTTCCCACATTTCTCACATTTATACGGTTTCTCTCCAGTGTGAGTTCTTTCATGTATTTGCAAACCTAGAGGAGAACTGAAAGTTTTCCCACATTGCTTACATTCATAGGGTTTCTCTGCAGTGTGAGTCCGTTCATGTCTTCGAAATGAAGTGGGACAACTGAGGGCTTTACCACACTGCTTACATATATACGGTTTTTCACCAGTGTGAGTTCTCACATGGACTTGAAAAGTGGTGAGCCAATGGAAGGCTTTTCCACATTCCTTACATTGATAAGGTTTCTCTCCAGTGTGAGTTCTTTCATGTGTTCGAAAGGAACTGGAACAACTGAAGGCTCTACCACACTGTTTACATTCATAGGGTTTTTCTCCAGTGTGAGATCTTTCATGTATTCTATATGAACTGGGACAATTGAATGCTTTTCCACATTCTTTACATTTATAAGGTCCAACTCCAGTATGTGTTATCATGTGTCTTTGAAAGCTTCCAAGAGAAATGAAGGCTTTCCCACATTCCTTACAGTCGTAAGGTTTCTCTCCTGTATGAGTTCTCTCATGTTTTCGAAGAGAACTGGGACAACTGAAGGCTTTACTACACTTTTTACATTCATAGGGTTTTTCTCCAGTATGAGTCCTTTCATGACTTCGAAAGGAACTTGGACAACTGAGGGCTTTACCACATTGCTTACATTCATAGGGTTTCTCCCCTGTGTGAGTTCTTTCATGTGTTTGAAAGGTTTGATGATATCGAAAGGCTTTCCCACATTGTTTACACTGGTAGGGTTTTTCTCCAGTGTGAGTCCGTTCATGTTTTCGAACAGATTGGCGATATCTAAATGATTTCCCACATTCCTTACATTTATAGGATTTCTCTATACTATGATTACTTTCATGTTTCTGAAAAGGCTGGAGATAACTGAAGGCTTTCCCACATACCTTACATTTATAAGGCTTCTTTCCACATTCCTGATACCTGGATGGTTTGGGTGCAGTGTGAGATCTAACATGCCTATTAAAGGATGAACGACTCATGAAGACTTTTCCACACACACTGCACTCCCATGGTTTTACTGCAGTAGAACTTTTCTTGTTCAGATTAAGATTTGGAATATGGCTGATATTTTCGCCACATTGACTACCTTCTTCACTTTCACAGCATCTCCGTAATGTATGGCTTCTGTTAAAAAAAAAATTAAAGCACAGTGTTAATCAAAGCGCACTGTTAATCATTTCTTTGTTAATGATTTTATAGTAAATATTAGTATTACATTTTTATCATTTATCAGGAAAGTGTTAGGTTTTTCTGCACCATGTAAATTGTTTGAAGTGAATATACTGAATGCTCTGCAAGAAAGCTCAACCATTGCTATTATCATAGTGATATTCATAAATGCAGTCTCTGAATATGTTTTAAACTAAAGTATTTGGGAAACAATGGACATCCATGACACTTAAGAAAACATTTTTTGGTAACAATTTTCTGGGAATAAATAAATTTGAAGCTGGGCCCTTTTGTGTCTACTTGTTTCTAAATTTCATGACATAAGAAGATTCTCTTGTGGAACACTGCTTTCAACTGTGAGTACAACTCACCTCAGATTTCTTCCCTGGCTTTTGTACTGATCTTCAGTGTTATGGTCTTCCCATTTTTCCCCTGAAACGAACCAAAAAGATCAGTAAATTATAGGAAAAGTCTATGATTACTTCAAACTATGATTTACTTACCAAAGTATTCCCTTTCCCCATTCCACATCTTAGAACAACATTGATGGGCAGGAAACACTTGTTCTCTAATTGATTAAGTGAAGGAATGTCATCATCCTTACCTATTGAGGCCAGGTTCCTCAAGGTTTCCCGCATCACATCTCTGTAGAGTTTCTTCTGTGAAGGCCCCAGCAGAGCCCACTCCTCCAAGGTAAAGTTCACAGCCACATCCTCAAAGGCCACTGGGTCCTAAAACATCACAAATATGTGTACAGGAAGATGGGTGAGACGGACAGTAGTGGGAATCTGTAGTCCATTCACAAGTTCACAAATGATGCTGTTATTAAAATATTTATTCTGTGACTTGATCATCAAGATCCTTATTCTCTACATAACCACTTCCTCACATTTAACAGCATCATGTACACATGGAAATCATTTTTACAATGATCACTTAAGTCTTATCATTCTCTAACAGTAGGATCCAGAGCATGCTGGAGAAGTGTGAACTCCAAATGTAAGAAATATTTCCAGATCATCACCTCCTCGTAAGAAAAATTCATCTCCTTTAATACCCACCATATCTATCACATAGCACTCCATGAAACCCAGGGTCACATTTGCATGAGGTGTTTTTTTCTTTATAACTTATTTAATTTTTGGCTGTGTCGGGTCTTCGTTGCTGTGCATGGGCTTTCTCTAGTTGCAGCAAGTGGGGGCTACTCTTCGTTGTGGTGTGCGGGCTTCTCATTGCAGTGGTTTCTCCTGTTGCAGAGCACGAGGCTCTAGGTGTGCGGGCTTCAGTAGTTGTGGTGCATGGGCTTAGCTGCTCTGTGGCATGTGGGCTCTTCCCGGACCGGGGCTTGAATGCATGTCCCCTGCATTGGCAGGTGGATTCTTAACCACTGTGCCACCAGGGAAGCCCCTTGCATGAAGTTTTAATGGTAAAAAACACAGTGAACTGGAAGCTTTTTCTTCTGTTCCCATCACCAAACATGACAAGCAGGAGACCTGTGGAAATCCAGCTTATCACTAGGCCCAGCTGTCTATATTGCCCTAAAGTACTCCAGGCTATCAAAAGTAGTCAGATGCAACTGGCTGAATAAGTTGGAAAAGTATTAAGTTTAACTTGCCTGTAAAAATATTTGACAGATACTCAGTTACTCCTTTTTATCTCTGTCCTATTTCATGGGGCTAGGAAGCTATTCTGAAGTTAGTACTCAGGCATGAGAAAGAAGGCATGACAACTTAGACCTCCACAAAATCCCTATATTCACGGGCCTCAGAGTGGCTTCTCACCATCTTTACCACATATATGTGCATATACTGAGAAGATAAATGCCAGAAGAGCATTTTCCGGCAAAACCATAAGTGTACCCTGGACCTTGCTGACCTTGGGGAACTGAATAAGAATTGCAATTTGCACCAGAGTCCACTGAAGACCACAATCAATGGTTTGATGGTGAATGTGCCCATCATTATAAAACACAAAGGGTCCAATGGTGCTTTCCTCTAAAAAACATAAAACTTCCCTGTCCAATTACAGGAGGCAGTGATTCTCAACCAGCCACTTGAGAGGCTGCCTTTCCACTTCTCGCATTTCCATGCCTCCATGTGGTGCAAAGGAACATGACAGTGCAACGTCTGGGCATAGGAATTCCTCAACCACATAACTTCCCTAAATGCTGATCTCTGTAAAAGATCACTAACCTACTGCTGTCCACATGCAAGGGACAGAGAAAAGGTACCCACACAGTAATTACAATGGTAGAATTTATCCATTCAGTTAAGGAACAGAAAAAGAAATCCCCAGTTTTTGAGAAGTTTTTCTCACAGGAATCGATGGTCTTAAAATGGAAATATTTCTTTTATTTGTATAGCATTTCTCTAATTTTTCCAATGTACTCTGGACCCTACCATTAGAGAACAGTAAGACTTTAAGTGATAATAGTAAAAATGTGTAATTTTCACATGTCATGATGCTGTTAAATTTGTGAGGAAGTAACCACTTCCTGCTTGAGCTGTTTGCATCTGCTCTAATTACACTTTCTATGGTGTATCTGTAGTGCTTGCTCCTAACAATGTCCTACTATGAAGTGTGCAGAAGAGAGTTACTAGCAGGTCTTAGATCACTGATTCTTAGGAATGCCTGCTCACCATGTTTGTCCTTCATTGGTATCTGCGAACTGGGATTTATGAGTGATCCCACCAACCTGGTAAGAGTGGCTCAGTGTGTCTATACTGTATATGGTACATTATAAACGCTTTTCATTATGAGCATCTGAACTTTAATTATGCTTAGGCAGAGTTCCTATGTGATCTGCTCCCCAAAATCACTCTGGGTTTTGAGGCTCTAATGAGCTTCTCTGGAAGACAATTATTTTACATGTATTGTCACAACCCGCTGCTTGTAGGCTTGAGCCCTTCCTATGTGATTACACTAGGAAAGACCACCTGGAAGTTTGCATCTGGCTCCCTCCAGAACAAATTTAATTCGGTACTAAAGAAGAATGAACGAGATATTTAACGATCCTCATGGGAAAATTTTTAAAAAGATGTTTTTAGAAATAACCCAACATCACTAAGATGTTTGTTATCTCTCCCAAAATATATCTCTAACAAAATGTTATCTAACTGGGAAAGACACTGTATTCCCCTGTATTCCATGGGCAATAGCCAATTCATTATAGATTGAAATGTGAAAGAAAAAACTGGGACACTTCTTGAAGTCACAAGTAAATGCTTCATTGATCCAAAAATAGGGAGAATTTTCTTGAAGAACTACAATCCTGCAGCCTGTGGAACAAAAACCATATTCACAGAAAGATAAACAAGATGAAAAGGCAGAGGGCTATGTACCAGATGAAGGAACAAGATAAAACCCCAGAAAAACAACTAAATGAAATGCAGATAGGCTATCTTCCAGAAAAAGAATACAGAATAATGATAGTGAAGATGATCCAGGACCTCGGAAAAAGAATGGAGGCAAAGATGGAGAAGATGCAAGAAATGTTTAACAAAGATCTAGAAAAATTAAAGAACTAACAGAGATGAACAATACAATAACTGAAATGAAAATCACACTAGAAGGAATCAGTAGCAGAGTACCTGAGGCAGAAGAACGAATAAGTGACCTGGAAGACAGAATGGTGGAATTCACTGCTGCAGAACAGAATAAAGAAAAAAGAATGAAAAGAAATGAAGACAGCCTAAGAGACCTCTGGGACAACATTCAACTCAACAACATTCACATTATAGGGGTTCCAGAAGGAGAAGAGAGAGAAAGGACCTGAGAAAATATTTGAAGAGATTATAGTCAAAAACTTCCCTAACATGGGAAAGGAAATAGCCACCCAAGCCCAGGAAGCACAGAGAATCCCATACAGGATAAACCCAAGGAGAAACATGCCAAGACACGTAATAATCAAATTGGCAAAAATTAAAGACAAAGAAAAGTTATTGAAAGCAGAAAGGGAAAAATGACAAAAAACATACAAGGGAACTCCCATAAAGTTAACAGCTGATTTCTCAGCAGAAACTCTGCAAGCCAGAAGGAAGTGGCATGACATATTTAATGGAAGAACCTACAACCAAGATTACCCAGCAAGGATCTCATTCACATTTGATGGAGAAATAAAAAGTTTTACAGACAAGCAAAAGCTAAGAGAACTCAGCACCACCAAACCAGCTGTACAACAAATGTTAAAGGAACTTCTCTAAGTGGGAAACACAAGAGAAGAAAACGATTTACATTAACAAACCCAAAACAATTAAAGAAATGGTAATAGGAACATACATATCAATAATTACCTTAAACGTGAATGGATTAAATGCTCCAACCAAAAGACAGACACTGGCTGAATGGATACAAACACAAGACCCATATATATGCTGTCTACAAGAGACCCACTTCAGACCTAGGGACACATTCAGACTGAAAATGAGGGAATGGAAAGATATTCCATGCAAATGGAAATCAAAAGAAAGCTGGAGTAGCAATACTCATATCAGATAAAATAGCCTTTAAAATAAAGAATGTTACAAGAGACAAGGAAGGACACTATGTAATGATCAAGGGATCAATCCAAGAAGATGTAACAATTATATATTCACCCAACATAGGAGCACCTCAATACGTAAGGCAACTGCTAACAGCTCTAAAAGAGGAAATCAACAGTAATAGTGGGGGACTTTAACACCTCACTTACACCAATGGACAGATCATCCAAACAGAAAATTAATAAGGAAACACAAGCTTTAAGTGGCACAACAGACCAGACAGATTTAATTGATATATATAGAACGTTCCATCCAAAAATAGCAGATTACACTTTCTTCTCAAGTGCCCATGGAACATTCTCCAGCATAGATCACATCTTAGGTCCACAAATGGAAGCCTCAGTAAATTTAAGAAAACTGAAATCATATCAAGCATCTTTTCTGACCACAACGCTATGAGATTAGAAATCAATTACAGGGAAAAAAATGTAAAAAACACAAACACATGGAGGCTAAACGTTATTAAATAACCAAGAGATCACTGAAGAAATCAAAGAGAAAATCAAAATGAAAACATGACGACCCAAAACCTATGGGATGCAGCAAAAGCAATTCTAAGAAAGTTTATAGCTATACAAGCCTACCTCAAGAAACAAGAAAAATCTCAAATAATCAAACCTTACACCTAAGGGAACTAGAGAAAGGACAGACAAAATCCAAAGTTAGAAGAAGGAAAGAAATCATAAACATCAGAGCAGAAATCAATGAAATAGAAACAAAGAAAACAATAGCAAAGATCAATAAAACTAAAACCTGGTTCTTTGAGAAGATAAACAAAATTGATAAACCATTAGCCAGACTCATCAAGAAAAAGACAGAGCGATTCCCTGGTGGTGCAGTGGTTAAGAATCCACCTGCCAATGCAGGGGACACGGGTTCCAGCCCTGGTCTGGGAAGATCCCATATGCCGCGGAGCAGCTGGGCCCATGTGCCACAATTACTGAGGCCCAGGCGCCTAGAGCCCATGCTCCGCAACGAGAAGCCATCGCAATGAGAAGCTCACGCACCGCAATGAAGAGTAGCCCCTGCTCGCTGCAGCTAGAGAAAGCCCGACACAGCAACGAAGACCCAAAGCAGCCAAAAATAAATAAATTAAATAAATTAAAAAAAGAGGGAGAGGACTCAAATCAATAAAATTAGAAAGGAAAAAAGTTAAAACAAGCACTGCAGAAATACAAACCATTCTAAGAGACTACTACAAGCAACTCTATGCCTATAAAATGGACAACCTGGAAGAAATGAAATTCTTAGAGAAGATTAACAAAATTGATAAACCATTAGCCAGACTCATCAAGAAAATAAGGGAGAAGACTCAAATCAATAGAATCAGAAATGAAAAAGGAGAAGTAACAACTGACACTGCAGAAATACAAAAAATCATGAGGGATTACTACAAGCAACTCTATGCCAATAAAATGGACAATCTGGAAGAAATGGACAAATTCTTAGAAATGCACAAACTGCCAAGACTGAATCAGGAAGAAATAGAAAATATGAACAGACCAATCACAAACACTGAAATTGAAACTGTGATTAAAAATCTTCCAACAAACAAAAGCCCAGGACCAGATGGCTTCACAGGCGAATTCTATCAAACATTTAGAGAAGAGCTAACACCTATTCTTCTCAAACTCTTCCAAAAAATTGCAGAGGAAGGAAAACTCCCAAACTCATTCTATGAAGCCACCATCACCTTGATACCAAAACCAAACAAAGATACTATACAAAAAATAAAATTACAGACCAATATCACTGATGAATATAGATGCAAAAATCCTCAAGAAAATACTAGCAAACAAAATCCAACAACACATTAAAAAGGATCATGCACCATGATCAAGTGGGATTTATCCCAGAGATGCAAGAATTCTTCAGTATATGCAAATCAATCAATGTGATACACCAATATTAAGAAAATGAAGAATAAAAACCATATGATCATCTCAATAGATGCAGAAAAAGCTTCTGACAAAATTCAACATCAATTTATGATAAAAACTGTCCAGAAAGTGGGCACAGAGAGAACCTACTTCAACATAATAAAGCCCATATATGACAAACCCACAGCAAACATCATCCTCAATGGCGAAAAACTGAATAACCATATTAACAAATTGAAGGAGAAAAACCATATGATCATCTCAATAGATGCAGAGAAAGCTTTTGACAAAATTCAACACCCATTTATGATAAAAACCCTGCAGAAAGTAGGTGTAGAGGGAACTTTCCTCAATATAATAAAGGCCGTATATGACAAGCCCACAGCCAACATCATCCTCAATGGTGAAAAACTGAAAGCATTTCCACTAAGGTCAGGAACAAGACAAGGTTGCCCACTCTCACCACTCTCACTCTCACCACTATTATTCAACAGTTTTGGAAGTCCTAGCCATGGCAATCAGAGAAGAAAAAAGGAATACAAATTGGAAAAGAAGTAACTCTCACTGTTTGCAGATGACATGATACTACACATAGAGAATCCTAAAGATGCCACCAGAAAACTACTAGAGCTAATCAATCAATGTGGTAAAGTTTCAGGATACAAAATTAATGCACAGAAATCTCTTGCATTTTTATACACTAATGATGAAAAATCTGAAAGAGAAATTAAGGAAACACTCCCATTTACCATTGCAACAAAGAATAAAATATATCTAGGAATAAACCTACCTAAGGAGACAAAAGACCTGTATGCAGAAAATTATAAGACACTGATGAAAGAAATTAAAGATGATACCAACAGATGGAGAGATATACCATGTTCTTGGACTGGAAGAATCAACATTGTGAAAATGACTATACTACCCAAAGCAATCTACAGATTCTGTGCAATCCCTATCAAACTACCACTGGCATTTTTCACAGAACCAGAACAAAAAATTCACAATTTGTATGGAAACACAAAAGACCCTGAATAGCCAAAGCAATCTTGAGAATGAAAAATGGAGCTGGAGGAATCAGGCTCCCTGACTTCAGACTATACTACAAAGCTACAGTAATCAAGACAATATGGTACTGGCACAAAAACAGAAATACAGATCAATGGAACAGGATAGAAAGACCAGAGATAAACCCACGCACCTATGGTCAACTAATCTATGACAAAGGAGACAAAGATATACAGTGGAGAAAAGACAGCCTCTTCAATAAGTGGTGCTGGGAAAACTGGACAGGTACATGTAAAAGAATGAAATTAGAACACTCCCTAACACCATACACAAAAATAAACTCAAAATGGATTAGAGACCTAAATATAAGACAGGACACTACATAGGAAGAACACTCACATAAATCACAGCAAGATCTTTTTTAATCCACCTCCTAGAGTAATGGAAATAAAAAGAAAAATAGACAAATGGACCTTTTGCACAGCAAAGGAAACCATAAACAAGACGAAAAGACAACCCTCAGAATGGGAGAAAATATTTGCAAATGAATCATGGGACAAAGGATTAATCTCCAAAATATATAAACAGCTCATGCAGCTCAATGTTAAAAAAACTAACAACCCAATCCCAAAATGGGCAGAAGACCTAAACAGACATTTCTCCAAAGAAGACATACAGATGGGCAAGAAGCACATGAAAAGCTGCTCAACATCACTAATTATTAGAGAAATGCAAACCAAAACTACAATGAGGTATCACCTCACACCAGTTAGAATGGGCATCATCAGAAAATCTACAAACAACAAATGCTGGAGAGGGTGTGGAGAAAAGGGAACCCTCTTGCCCTGTTGGTGGGAATGTAAATTGACACAGCCACTATGGAGAACAATATGGAGGTTCCTTTAAGAACTAAAAATAGAATTACCATATGATTCAGCAATCCCACTACTGGGCATATACCCTGAGAAAACCATAATTCAAAAAGACACATGCACCCCAATGTTCACTGCAGCACTATTTACAATAGCCAGGTCATGGAAGAAACCTAAATGCCCATCGACAGACAAATGGATAAAGAAGATGTGGTACATACATGTAATGGAATATTACTCAGCCATAAAAAGGAACGAAATTGAGTTATTTGTAGTGAGGTGGATGGACCTAGAGTCTGTCATACAGAGTGACGTAAGTCAGAAAGAGAAAAACAAATATCGTATATTGACACGTATATGTGGAACCTAGAAAATGGTACAGATGAACCAGTTTGCTTAGCAGAAATTGAGACACAGAAGTAGAGAAAAAACGTATGGGCACCAAGGGGGGAAAGCGGCAAGGGATGGGGGTTGTGGTGTGATGTACTGGGAGACTGGGATTGACATATATACACTGATGTGTATAAAATGGATGACTAATAACAAAAATTAATTAAAACAAATCCCCCCAAAACAAAACAAGAAGAAGCCCTAAAGCAAGAGCCTGACCAATTCAAACATATTAAAACTAAGGGAGTTATAAGACAAACAGGTGGGAGAAGATACATGCAATGTTAAAGGGTTAGTGTGCGAAGTAAGATGAACGGACACAATAGTTAAGGGAAAAAAAAAGGGAAAATAACCAAAACATGTTTAGCAGAAGATGCGAGGTCACGTATGAAAAAATACCTATCTTATTGGTAATAGGAAGTAACAAAACAACATGTCAAGCAGATTACATTTCACACTTATTAGGACAAAAATTTAGTCAATTTAGTAATGCCAAGTGATGACCACAGGTGACAAATATGTAAATTATGCACGAATGGAGGAAGCATCAACTGATGCACTCCACTGCCATTTCCTGTAAATTTGAACTCGACCACTATCTACAGCTTAGCAATTTTTCTCCAATGTCCAGAGGATTTATGTACTTGGAGACTAATGCAAGAATATAGAAAATGTATTTTTAAAGAGATTAAAAATTAAACTGGAGAGAATTCCCTGGAGGTCAAGTGGTTAGGACTCCATGATTTCACTGCCAAGGGCCCAGGTTCAATCCCTAGTTGGGGAAGTAAGATCCCGTAAGTTGTGTGGCACAACCAAAAAAATTTTTTTTAACTGGAAAAAGCCCAACCCTATAATCACTGCAATGGATGAGTACCTTGACTGGCCTGTAGCCTCAGACCCTAGGTGTGTATGAAACATACTTCTGCAAAGAACCAACGAAAAGACATTTTGACTGTAATTTCATTAATACTCATTCACTGAAAAGTCAAAACAGACAAAAGTAAAACACTGTGTAGTGAAAAGAATAGATGGTAAAGGTATGAATAACTAAACAATCAACAGAGATCATCTATGGGGCAGCAGAGAGATGAATAAGGGAGCAGAACATCATGAGACTCTAAAAACTGCCCAAAGGCCCACTTATGAATCTTGATGATTATAAAGATGTTTATATTGTTATTATTACTAGATCTTCCAATAAAACATTTTGTATGGACTTCCCTGGTGGCGCAGTGGTTAAGAATCCGCCTGCCAATGCAGGGGATATGGGTTCGAGCCCTGGTCCGGGAAGATCCCACATGCCGTGAAACAAGCCCATGAGCCACAACTACTGAGCCTGCACTCTAGAGCCTGAAAACCACAACTACTGAGCCTGCACTCTAGAGCCTGCGTGCCACAACTGCTGAAGCCCGGGCGCCTAGAGCCCTTGCTCCGCAACAAGAGAAACCACTGCAATGAGAAGTCCGTGCACCACAATGAAGAGTAGCCCCTGCTCGCCGCAACCAGAGAAAGCCCGCACACAGCAACGAAGACCCAACATAGCCAAAAATAAAAAATAAATTTATATTAAAAAAACATTTTGTACATTCTTTTTTGAATATATGTGATGACAAAATAAATAAGGAATTAATGAAGTTTGGAGAAGAACATAATTTTACTATGTTTGCCCTGTGATGTGGCAACCTGAGTTTTAATTCACAGATTCTGGTAGCAAGAACTGGTTCTGAAAGAACTGGTTACATAATCTCACCCTCATATTCACTTTTTGAAAATAAAGGGTGAAGGGACTTATCTGGTGGTCCAGTAGTAAAGAATCTGCCTTCCAATGCAGGGTAT